CTTCAAGTCGAGAATCTGCCGAGCCGCTGCCTTTAAGTCACTAATGTAGAATCTGTCCTTTAAGTCACTAATGTAGAATCTGTCCTTTTGTTTTTTGAAATTTGCTCAGTCATCTCTTAAGTAGCTCAATGAATTTTGATCTTGGCATTAGAGATGAGCTTGAGATGTTTTTCTTATTAGTCTCAGCAGTTCATCCTTGTTATTTTTGCCATTTTATCATAGCATTGGCTGTCGGATTCAATGAAATACGTTGATGTTATGAGTTTCTTACTCTTTCTTCAGATATGACAGAATCGACAGAAGATTTGAAAGCCGACGGTAATCGCTTCTTTCAACAAGGACGATATCAAGAAGCTATCGATGCATATAGTAAAGCCATCATCCGAAATCCGCACGTTTCCACTTATTTCACCAATCGAGCACTTTGCCATATGAATGTACGATGAGTGCTTTTTTACGTACTCTTGTCTTGTCTGAGCAATGATTTATCATTGCAGTTAAAAGCCTGGGCTAAAGCTGCGGAGGATTGCTCAAAGGCTGCTTTTTTGGACAGAAATAATGTCAAAGTAGGTTCCTGCCCTTTTGTTTCTCTTACATTGAGCTGTTTCAAAAATTCTCGTTCTAGTTTTCTTTTACCCCTTTTCTGAAATGGTGATTTTGGAGGAGAACCATTATGAATGCTGTTTTTATCATTTGAATTATTATTTTTATTATTCTCTTTTTCATCATCTCTATGTGTGCTTTTTTTATCGAAAAGCTTGGTTCAGTCTATGAGTCTCTGTCTTGAAAGGACAACAACTTTTTACTTCATTGCCGTGAATTCCGTAGCCAGAAAAGGGAGTTTCTTATTGAAACACATTCAATGTTTGCTGGGGACTTCTACAAAATGCTTGTCGAGATATGATTCTAGAGAAAGTTTTTAGCACAATCATAACCTCATAACCAAAAAAAAACTATAACCAAATCATAATTATAACCCACGTGGTGGTACTTATTAATCGCTTTAATTATAGGCAGAATGCGATGGAACTTTTGACCTATATAATGAGGTTAGAGTAGAATCATTATTTGAGCCAAATAAGAGTGTTTCGGAAATAATCTTTGAAAATTTTTTATGGAAAACTTAGATCAAATGGGTTACCAGTACAGCTCCTCCGACTATTGACTACACAGTAGGCAGTGCTGCGCAATTTTACTACACTTCAAATCAAGTTATTATTTCCTAGGTTCCCAAAAGAAGATGATGAGGGAAAATCTCTCGCTGGGAAAATTTATTCCGCTGCTATTGCAACAGCTTGTGAATATGCTTAGAATTTGCAAAGATTTGGATTGTAATACATTTCATGGCTCGCAGTGATCATAAAAAAGCATGGTAATTCAACTTGGAACTGAAAACGGGTAGAACTTTCGAAGACCCATTTTAAATTATATCATCTGATGTTCTAGTGCGCATATTATTTTAATATTCTTTTCATATCAGGCATACTATTTCGGCGGGCGAGCAGCTATCCAATTAGGAAACTACAACGAGGCTATACGACTGATCACGAAAGCAAAGGAGCTGGCTAGCACACAGAAAGTTAATATTTCTTCCTGACCTTGATCACTGACCCTTTATATTGTTCCTGATTTTCTGTTTGATTAGATGAATTTTGGAGATGAAATTCATGCGCAAATGCGGTTAGCGCGACGAGAAAAGTTTCGGATGGAAGAGGAGAAGCGGATCAAAGAGGAAGGCGAACTGCAAGCTTACTTGAGAAGGTGATCTTCTTTTCTTTTTTTCTAATCTTTGTTGTTATCCACTGTAGCAACACTACACAGTTATTTCACTTTCATGTTGCTGTTGAGATTTCTGAGGTTTTTTGAACTCCTTTTTGAAAGTCTTTTGAAGTGGGACACCACCACCTACCCTGAGATCTTTTTATCGCTTAACACCTTCCTCAATTAGTTTTTCCCGTTCTGACTGTTCAAAATCGTGACC